TACTAGTAGTAAGGCACTTGTTACTAGTAGCGATGCACTTGTTACTAATAGCTTCCTAATAAATGAAACATAATTTGTGCTTCCACTTGGAATCAGAATGTTCTTGTGGAACAAATGACCGGTGGCCAGATGCGAGCGCAGAGGGCTCGGCATGGTTTCCCTGACCAACAGTTCTTTGCGGTTGATGTATCCCGATAAGAAGGATGAACTAGAGAACGCTTCACCGACAGAAAGTTCCCAATCCCATCGGGATGAACAGACCACTTGGGACGGGTGAAATGATCCAACAGACTGCAACGGGTTTGGTCTTTCCTCTTCAAACTTCACCATCCGAAGTCACATTCATAGAGCTTATGAGAATCCTGGTGAATGAGGTGGTCCTTGAAACATCTCTTCAGCCCTTTCCTCAAAATGAACATCCGACCCTGTGCGAACCACCGCGCCCGGCGCTGGGGTTGGGTTCACGAATTCGCCCGAAACGACACCGTCGGAGAGGCTGATCGGTTGGACTCGCCGCACAGGATTGTTTCTTGCTAATGGTCTCTTAATTATTCAGTATTTTCTATATTATTGCCTAGGGATTTTTCTGTCTATCTCTTTCTAATGGTTTTTGTTGGTATCTTTCTTTTTTATTTCTTTACAGTAAATTCTAGGGTTAAAATGGTAAGGTTCTTATTTATTATTGTATTTCTGGCCGCCTGATTCCATCATATGTATTTAGTTCTTTCTTATGGTGTTTGCCATCATCTCTTATAATATTTGGGCCAATAATTGACACCCAGAGTCCCGCACGTGGCGTGGAAAGAAATCGATCACAGAGCTGTTAAGATTTTGAAGTTGTTGGCCTCCCTTTTTGCCAAAAAGGAACTTACTAGCGATGGCCTCCAACCTAAGAGCGATGGCCTCCAACCTACTCGCAAGTAGAGGTCTCCTTTGCGACCAAAAAGGATTTGTTCAAATAATGATACGGTGTTCAGACCCAAAGTCTTATGGCAGTGCAAGAGTTCTTCCATTTCTTCCTTCCAACCGTGCCAATCAGTATCACCGGATCGAAAGCTTGGGATCGGAACCCGCCGAAGAAGCTGATCACATCGAGAAACCCCAGAGACACCTGGTCCAAAGTCGGGACGAGAAACAAAACCCAAGACGTTGGGTTTTTTCGTGACGGGTGTGTCACGGCTAATTTCCCGTAACAATGGGCTGACCAAGTTGTGGGCGGACAGAAACAAGAGAAGATGGGCGTCCGACTTGTTTCAATGATTGCCAAAACTGGTTTCAAGAATTCAGCCCTGAGATTGGACAAATTCCTGCAAACAAGAACAAAAATAACAGTGAAAAGCTTGGCGACACCTATGTATAGGGAGACCCTAGACAGGTACCGTAATATTCTGCAGGATTTTAGCTTGATCATGGTGCGAGACTGCTGCTGGGTGGTTGCTTGCCTATAGCTTGCAGGTTCTCAGAAATTTCCATTGATTTCGGCAAGTGGCCTGAAAGCCTTGATCTAGACTTGACCAGGCACCGAAAAACTGAGACCGAGCGTTTATAGAGCGCCTACTCAGACCCTCCAAGGTACCTTACAAAATGGGAGATGGCCTCATAAAGCATACCCAGTTCCTGAGGGACTTTTAGATCAGAAAAGACAAGGAGGGAAACACAAAGAAGGCGAACGCTGTGTAAAGAAATCATGCGCAACATGATGAAGCATGTTGCTTCGTTGAATATATGTGGCAAGGCGTTACTATGTATACCTGAGCAATGGTCGCCCGGATCTTTGCAATCCAGGGCTAGGGCGAAGCCTGCTCCCACCCAAAATGCCTTGCCAAGCCATGCCGCTGACTCTTTGTTTGTTCCCCGTGATATGTTTCCCCTGGCAAGCCAAATCAGCACACCACCTCAGCACACCTTCTGTCTTTGGCAGTGTGGCCCCGGGAAATCGGCGTGAGAAGACGGCCATGGTTCGGTCTCATCAGGGTCGGGATGCCATACTTTCATTCAGCGCATTGAAAATTTGGTTGAACTCCAGCAGCGGATGTTTTGTCGGTCAAATTCACGCATTTTCTGCAAATTCCTGCGAACTCCTGCGAACTCCTACGAACTCCTGCCAACCCCTGCGAACTCCTTGCGAACTCAGGGCGATGGGGCTGGGACGTCCCAATTCGCACGTTATTCCTACAGGTCATTTCAAACCTGAGAATTAGTTTCAGCGCGCGTTTTCACCTGAAGCCAGCTCGAGATGTATGCCCAAACTCTCCGTTCAATGGAGATTATGTGAAAAAATCTCGTGCAAATTTGAAGATTTAGCAAAACTCCTGTGAGCTCCGGCGAACTCCGACGAACTCCGGCGAACTCCGGCGAACTCCTGCGAACTCCGGCGAACTCCGGCGAACTCCGACGAACTCCTGCGAACTCCGGCGAGCTCCGACGAACTCCTGCGAACGAACTCCTGCGAACTCCGACGAACTCCTGCGAACTCCGACGAACTCCAGTAAACTCCGGCGAACTCCTGCGAACGAACTCCGGCGGACTCCGGTGATTTCTGCGACGAAGCCCCCCAGCGAACTCCGACGAATTTCCAACTATTATGCATGTTTTTCGGACTTCCAATTCCTCAGTTTTTGGACATCGTGTCCCTCATGGACCTCACGGCGTCACGGTCCACTGCTTAATTAACCCCAAGGTAGATCAACCACATTCAACCACCAACTGCGACAATCCAGGCACAGTGTGCAACTGCGATGGTGATTGGTGTTTCGGCGAGTTCTTGAAGCCGGAATTAATTGAAAAGCTGGGCGCACACCTTCCTTCTTTATTGTTTGCCCGCAGCCTGTTCAGCCCCTGCTGCGCGAAACAAGCCTTGAGCAACCCAGTTGGTTGCTTGTCAGTTCGCGGTTGCGCTCGATTTTCTCAGTGTAGCTTGCCTGGTGGGACTCGGGGAAGAGAGAAGAAGTCAGCAGCAAGTCCATTTGGTTAGTGAAGGCTGGGGCATACCCTAGTTTGCAGAGAAACTTACGGGCGCGTGTTGGGTACATAGCCTTCTGGTAGGTCATTCGGCAAGATGACACATGGTGCGTATTTTGCACAGCGTTCGCGTGCTTCGTGTTTCCCTACCCTGGTTTTTGAATCCAAGCGGGCTAATTTCTGATTTTCAGCTTTTCTGCTCCTGGTCAATCCTTAATTCAAGGTTTTTTTGCCATCTTCAGTCTTCGCGCAGAAAATTATGAAAATCCCTGCGAACCCGTAACGCTCACGAAAAAACCCACAAGACGTACACCAACAAATCCCACCACGGCCGAAAAGCCGGGAAGCCCCTAGTAGCGTTCTTGTTCCTAGTAGCGATGCACTTGTTACTAGTAGCTTCTTGTTCCTAGTAGTCCGGCTCCTAGTAGCGTTCTTGCTACTAGTAGTATGGCCAGGAGCGATTGTACGTAGCGACGTAGCGTCCTTGTTCCTAGTAGGGATCAGGGATCTTGAGCAGCGCTCCCAAAGATGTGTGTTTTTGGTCCACCGAATGAACGACTTCGTGGAATGTTGGGGGGGCTCGCCAGCTGACGGAGGAACGAGGGTGGCTGAGGATGGCTGAAACCCCACGACAGATTTGGATCCATCCACCCTCATTCCTTTCGAACCAGACAAGCTTTCGTCGCTTGACGATTAAACATCTTCCACTTGGTCGATGTTCTTACTTCAGCACGGCTACATTCGTATTCAGTCTTTGTTGAAGAATCAATGGATCAGTTCCCTTGTCACCTTTTCACACACACTCTCTCTCTCTCTCTCTCCTGACTGATCAGCATTTTGCCAGATTTTGCCTAATGCGTTTGCCACGCAGCGGTCGCGCCATGAAGACCATGGCGTGCTCCACAGCGGACTTCGACCTTTTCTTAGCTGGATGAAAACTGTGACGATCCTGTGACGGTCAAATATGTAGACAACCAGTTTTTCTTCGAAATCTCAGAAACTCTGTGCCGACTCAATTCATTCGGTCGTCCTTGTTACTCACCAGCGAAGAAGGCGGAGGATGAATTCGATCAATGGACCAGTGCATTGGCGAGGTCTCTGAAAAGGAACAGGCAGATAGTCGGAGGCGTGATTTAAGGAGTTCTCCTCTATCGTGACGAGTCACACTTTTGGTTTGTATGGGGATCCACGCAGTCCACTAGGAGCTTCTTGATGGTTTGCCAGTCTTTCTTTGAGCATGAGGCATTTGCTGGTCTTCCAGAGAGAATCAAGGGTTAACCACTGAAGCGGCCCAAAGCCCTGAACCCCACGGCATTCACATTCACTCCAAGATGGCACCAGATGGGGATGGAACATAGTCGATTGGGGTCAGAAAACCTCGGTTTGTTACTCGCATCCAAGTAACAAATGTTCGCTACTAGGAGCAAAGGGCATCGCCAGGACGCTACTAGGGGCTCCTAGTAGTACTGCCAGGAGTGCCCCGTTCGTAGCGTCCTTGCTAGTAGCAATGGCCTCCAACCCAGCGATGGCCTCCACCCTAGTAGCGTCCTTGTTCTGTTCGCGAATGCACCCTTGCCCAGGTTTGATGGCTGCTTCCGCCTGGAGGCATCGAGACTCTTAGAGGCGAATGCGTGACGTGCGTGACGTGACCGACGTGACCACGCGCTCCATGCTTTCATTTGCCTCGTTGTATACAAGCATTCCTCTCAGTCCCATATCGATCAACAATCCAAAGAAAGACCGGCAAGTGTGCAATACTTATTGAGCATAAGGGTATATGATATGTGTGTTGACCTGTACAAGGAATCCAGAACCAACGCTAGTAGGTTGGAGGCCATGGCTCTTAGGTTGGAGGCCATCGCTATTAGGTGTATGTTTTTTATCTTTTTTATTTGTTCATTTTGCTTTTGGAGGTCATCGCTTCTAGGTTGGTTGACCTGTAAACGGAGCCCAGAACCTCAACCTTCACCTTTCGCCAAATCAACTCTGCACTGGGCAGAGGAAGTCAGCAGGCAAGCTACGCAAAGCTGCTCACTCGCGCTGTTCGGGCCAGACACAAACATGTAATTTGGCACATTTGATTCGTCCAGTGATTGAAAGCAAAAGCTTTATGGAAGGAATAAGATGGGGACTTGGCAAAAGAAGGAAGGCCACGTGATGTTCTGTTCGGTTGAGAGACCACAAGGGCTTTGTAGCTTGCACTGTTGACCCCGAGAGAATCCTCAGTTAGCGTAGTCAGGCCCTACTCCACCTGTCTTTCCACTGATCACTGCAGCAAGGACTCTTCAACGTTCCCGGTCTCCCTTGGCCTGAGGGACCAGGACTCACCCTGATCCGAGTCATTCTTTTCTTGACACTTACATCACTGCAGGCTTGAGCCGGTGCAGTTCTGGGCTCCGGGTTCGTTGCTCCTCTCGTCGAAAATCCACGTCTCCGACGTCGTTCAGTCCAACGACGTCTTCTCCTCCTTAGAAGAGTTCAGCCTCGATGGGGAGATGTTGGAGGCGTGACCGGCGACCAGCGGACAAAGAATGGAAGAACAGCGTTTGGTTTTGGGCCTTCAACGAAGGGAGAATGATGGAGTCTGATCTCGTTTGTGGCCCATTTCAGCCCCCAAACATCAGCCTGAGGTGTGTGTCTTTTCGTTGAAAAAAGAAAACACCATGAGAGAGAGAGAGAGACCGTTCGGTTCAGCACGTTCGGTTTCATTCGGGATCGGTCCGATCCATTGGGCTGATCAGCGCTGCACGGATGTGTTCGCCGACGGCAAGTGCAAACTGGACATGATATTTTTTTTCATGTCCAGTTTGCACTTGCCTAGATGTCGGTGGAGTCGAGGAGTGACTGGAGGCGTGTAGCTACATGCTGATTCTCTACAGCTGTTGGCGACATCCCAAACGCTCCCTCCCTATCAAGGCTGTACTGAGAATATCATGGCTAAATTAAGGTTTGGGCTGTGATCTCAGGGCATGTTCCCGGAAAGCGCAGGGTCAGATTCCAAGAGAACGGAGTGGCAGCCTTGGTGTAGCATGATGTATTTATACCAGTACTACCTTGGGTTTTTTGGACACTCTCCCAGCCATGACAAGGTGTTTTCCCATATGAGTGGATGATCCCTGTATAGAACTGGTTCGCTGAAGGCATGAGAGGGTGAGTTAAAGAGGAGAGCTCTCTATCATGGGTTTTGGAAGGTTTTGGGTGGCTTCACACCGTCAATCCACTGGACATTCGAGTGGCAGGCCCCGATGCTGGCACGGCTTCCTGAGAGATGTCCCCAGCACACCCGGCATGTGGGGATGACTCTGTGAGTCTACAAGTCTACGCCTGTTTCGTTAAAGTCTGTTCATGTTCGTGTCTTTCGAAGTGTTGTTTCTCTCTTTGTGATGTTTCTTCTGTTCTCGCTTTTACTTTCCTCCTTTCTGGACCTTTTTGTTTCGCTCCGGTGGAGAGAATAGCGCACGCGCTGCTCTTTTAGAGACGGATCGAAATCCGGTCCGACAAATTCTGAGGGGAAAAGGCGTCTTCCTCGTAGCGTCCGATCGCTCCTCGGATCTTCCGACATCGGCATGTCGCAGAAAAGCTGAGCAGCGGCATTGGTTTTTTTTGCTGAAAGCACTTAGTGCTTATTACCAGCGGCATGGTGCCCAAAAGGAGAAGATGAGCTGGAAGGTATAAAAACAGAGTCTTGCACCAGGACTTTTCACTGCCAATGACAAACTGCCTGAATCACTGGTACGGAACTTCATGGCACTGGAGCAAGTCTTTCATGTTTTTCACATCCATTCGATGGTGACAGACCCTAGATGCAAAGGCTCTTGAGTTACTAATAGCGATGGTGATGGCCTCCAACCATTCGATGGTGAGCTCCCCTTTGGACTCGACACGACGTGCTAGTTTCCCTGAAGCAAGTGGTTTCGTGTCGTGCGACGTCGAAGGTTGTCATCATCCCACCACCTCAGGCGTTTCTGAAAAGATCTACAAAACTGAATAGAAGAAATGGGACAGACGGAGGCAAGTCTACAAGCGATGGCCTCCAACCCTAAAAACGATGGCCTCCAATCTGTGTCGTCATGGACAGAACCTACAGGCAAGTCATGGCAGTCCCCTCATGACAACAAAGCCCGCTGCTCAGCCGCAACGAGTGCGATACCTCGCTTGGTCAGGTAAGTGCAGAAGATGGTCAAACCCAATTCCTGGGATTTTATAAGCGGCATTACAACTTTGTAGGGTTGAAAAATGCTGAAGCACATTTGGATACCACGTCCGAAGGCAGGAGCACCAAGTCTGCCTTTGCATCCTTGGTCAACTGGAGGGTTTGAGGACTTTTGTGAGACCATTTTCCAGATATACCTTTGGCTGAGAAGCAACTGGGGCATTCAAGAACCATTGACGAATCCGACAAATGTGAAAGGAATACATCATTGACGCATATTCCTTTTGCTTGGTCATTGATGTGTTTGTTGACAAGGACCCACCCATATCAGTAGGGGATGCTGAGGCAATTTGTTGGTCATCCAGAAATACTCTTAAACGAGCCAAGTCCCACGACTAGCTCATGACGTTGCGCTGGTGGCCAAGCCTGCTGTAGCTAATTGACGAAGATGCTTGAGGCAGGTGGGCGTTCTTCAACTCTCCTTCAAAGGTCCTGGTGGGCATTTTGGACCAACGAACCGGAGGTGGTGCACACTTGCCTGATCTTGCCTGCATGTCGTCACCTGCCAGCTGGCGGCGAGCGCCATGACTCGTGAGTACTGGGGTGCTGCTATTGTTCTGGAGTGCGGGCTGCCCTTGGCAAGGTGCTGGCTGCACATCACTGCTTCTGCCTAGCCAAGTCCACGCATCAGCACTACCAACTGCAACATTGCATTGTGCCAGGCTACGGTCCTTGCTGGTCTCCTTTGCTGCCGAGCTCGATGGCTGGGGTCTCAGGCCGCTGAAATTTGGCGGGTCCAAAGCTGAAGTTCAAAAGCCACGCAACGAGCCCGTGATCAGGTACATTCAGGGGCGGGGTCACCTGAGGCCCAGATGCAAGGTGTACCGGCACGATATGATTTCTGGGAGCAGGTACTGCTTTTCTTTCGAGGTGTTCTCGTTGGTTGGCTAATGTCTGTGCAAAAATGAGGTGCCACCTCTCTTGAATGGCCTCCAGCTAACCTAGTAGCAATGGCTTCCAACCTAAGAGCAATGGCCGCCAACCTAGAAGCGTGTTTGTGTCGTAATGAAACTGCGTGATTCCCATTTGGGCCATGCCCCAATGATAGGATCTTGGAGTTTTCGCTGCCCACCAATAGACAACGCACAGTTGCTGTGGAATGTCGGGTCTACAATGGAACAAGTTTGGCTTCGCCATGTTTCGCGACTCAGCAAATCTGCTGGGTGTGGAACATGTTGAAGTCACGGCCTCACATTGGGCGAAAGCTTGTTTGCAAACGCAGAAGAACAAAATCATCGAATGCAACAGCACATGATGTTTAAATCCCGTACGTTTTTTGAGGCAAAGGATGTGAGACAAGGGTCTTAAGGAAACTTGTGTGCATCGTGGAATCTGCGGCCAGGGCATGAAGTCATTGGTCATCAAAAATTTGAAGAAGCAAACGCCATTTCGGGTTCTCCCCTAGCCCCTTTCCATTATACAATACGGTCGTAAAAAAAATTCACCTACCTGCCCAATCAACAATGTCCATGGTAGTTTTGGGGTCTGTTTGTGGTTTTCTGATCACAAGAAGCAACATGTCCACTTTGGTTGGGAGAAGTGGGTTTACTCTTATCCACCTCAGATTTTGGATCAACGTGCCAAGATCCCACATGTATGTTTGTGAAGACCATTCCCCCGTACCTGAAGCGGGTCCCAAATGCCGGGCACTCCGTGTAAAGCCCCTCGGTTTGAGCAACGCTTCTGAGGCGAGGCCCTGGAAGCCTTCGCCACCCTGCCACTTGTGCGATGAATGGTGGACGAGT